GAGAATTGTTATCGCCTTATTGGCTTTCCTCCTGACTTTAAATTCAACAAGAAGAAGGTTTCCCAAGCTGCCATGGTGACTCCCTCTGATCATGAGGTGCTTAATCCAGCTCCACCAATTTTTACAAATGAACAGTATCAGCAGCTTCTGGGGCTTCTGAATCAAACTTCAGCTCAGAGTTCTAGTCCAGATTCCTCTATAAATCTGGCAGGTACATTCTGTTCTCTTACTTATAATTCAATTGAGTGGATTCTGGATTCTGGATTCTGGAGCAACTGACCATATTTTATCAGATTTTAAATGCATGCTTAATCCTTTGCCCTGTACATCCACTCCTAAATATATTCAGCTACCTAATGGTAAATCCCTTATTGTCTCACATATAGGTTCTGTTAGGTTACCAAATGGTCTTCAATTGTCTAATGTTCTTCATGTACCTCACTTTACTCACAACCTTATTTATGTTTCAAAACTGGCTTATGAGTTAAACTATGTTGTTTTGTTCTATCCTGATCTTTGCATATTTCAGGATCTTTGCAATGGCATGATGAGGGTGATTGGTAAAGAATATAGAGGTCTTTACATGCTCAGGTTTCCTGCAGATTCTGTTTTTTCTGTTTCTGCCTTAAATCATTCTGTTGATGCATGTAATCCTTTTGTTAGTTCTGAAACTTTTCTCAATACTTGTAAGTTTGTTGATGCAAATAAAAAAAATCTTTGGCATGCTCGTTTAGGACATGTTCCAGCTTCTCAATTAAAAAAATTACCTATGTTTCATAATATGAATTTGCATCATGAATCTGTTCAAACTTGTTATGTCTGTCCTTTAGCTAGACAATCTAGGCTTCCATTTCCAGTCAGCAATTCTAGGACCACTACTCCTTTTGCATTGATTCATATTGATTTATGGGGGCCTTATCGAATTTCTACTCATGTTGGTCAACGTTTTTTCTTAACTATTGTCGATGACTACACTAGGATGTCTTGGGTGTACTTATTGAAGCTTAAGAATGATGTTGTTTCCTGTCTTAGAATATTTATTCTAATGGTTCAGAATCAATTTTCTGTCTCAATTAAAATTATTGTTCGTAGTGATAATGGTCGTGAATTCTTTAACTCTGAGTGTTCTCCCTTGTTTGCATCCTTGGGAATTATTCATCAAAGTTCTTGTGTACGTACTCCTCAACAGAATGGGGTTGCAGAACGTAAACATAGGCACCTTTTAGAGGTTGCTTGGGCCCTTCGTTTTTAGTCTCGAGTTCCTTTTAAATTTTGGGGAGAATGTGTGTTAGCTGCTTGTTATATTATCAATAGGTTACCTTCTTCGGTTTTGTCTTGGAAAACTCCTTTTGAACTACTATACCATAAACCTCCTTCTTATGATCATTTTCGAGTGTTTGGGTGTCTCTGTTTTGCAACAAATCTTACTTCTCATGATAAGTTTGATGTTAGACTCTTTGTTTCTGTCTTTTTAGGATATTCTCCAACCCAAAAAGGTTATTTGTTGTTCAACCTTGATTCTAAAAAATTCTTCATTAGTAGGGATATTAAGTTTCATGAAAATCAGTTTCCCTTTCACCAATCTTCTTTATTTTATGATTCTGATCCAATTTTTTTCCCATCCACTACATTTGTTTCTGATGATGATTTCTTGGTTCTAAATTCTCCAAGTCCTCAATATTCTAGCTCCCTTCCTAATAATACTACTACTAATGAGCATCATTCTCAAATTCCAGTTCAGTCTTCTACTTCAATAAGTGCACCTGTTCCTTCTAGGAAACCCTCGAGTATCTAAGCCTCCTACTTGGTTGAATAATTTTGTTTGCTCTTGTCAGTCTTCTTATTCTCACCTGCCTATTCATACTCAAGTGTTTTTGTCTTCTATTTCTCAAATTTCTGATCCTCAATCTTATTCTAAGGCTGTTCAAAATCCACTTTGGGTTCAAGCAATGAAAGAGGAAATACATGCATTGGAGTCTAATAGAACTTGGTCTCTTGTTCCATTACCACCAGGAAAAATTCCTATTGGATGTAAGTGGGTTTATAGAGTTAAGTACAAAGCATCAGGTGAGGTTGAGAGATATAAAGCTCGCTTGGTTGTTAAAGGTTACAATCAACAGGAGGGAATTGATTTTGTTGAAACATTTTCTCCTGTGGTTAAATTGGTTACTATTCAAACCATTTTTGCACTTACCTCCATCTTCCATTGGCCATTATTGCAAATGGATGTCTTCAATGCCTTTTTGCAAGGTGACCTTTCTGAGGAAGTTTATATGCAACTGCCTGAGGGTTTTTGCAGTCAGGGGGAGAGGATTGTGTGTAGACTGCAAAAATCATTGTATGGCCTTAAGCAAGCTTCTAGGCAGTGGAATCTAAAATTGACAGAAGCATTGGTTTCAACTGGCTATGTTCAGAGCAAATATGATTACTCATTGTTTATCAAGAAGCAACAAGGTAAAATGGCCTTGTTATTAGTCTATGTTGATGATTTGGTAATCACAGGTTATAGTAGTGAATTGATTGCTGAATTAAAGCAAATGTTGAATAGCCATTTTAAAATGAAGGATTTGGGGGAGCTGAAGTATTTCTTGGGAATAGAGGTATTGAGGTCAAGGGAAGGCATACTTTTGAATCAAAGGAAGTATGCACTCCAGTTAATCAAAGATACTGGTTTGGAGGAAGCAAAGTCTGTTGTTACTCCTCTAGAGCAGAATCTGAAGTTGACTACTTTGGATTATGACAAGATTGTGCAGCAAAATAATGAAGATGAACACAATCTAGTTGAAAAATCAGTTTATCAAAGACTTATTAGGAGGCTGATTTACTTGACATATACAAGACCTGATATTACATATGCAGTTAATCTACTCAGTCAGTTCATGCAGCAACCTAAGAGATCTCATAAGGAGTCAGCCTTAAGGGTAGTTAAGTATGTCAAGGAAGAACCATGAAAGGGAATCTTGCTGAAGTCTTCTTCAAGTTGTCAAATTTTAGCCTATTGTGACTCAGATTGGGGATCATGTCCAATGACAATAAAATCTGTGACTGGTTTTTGCATTAAGATTGGTGATTCAATGGTTTCATGGAAATCAAAGAAACAAAATGTTGTGGCTAGATCTTCAGCAGAAGCTGAGTATAGAGCTATGGCAGTTGTCACTTCAGAGCTGGTATGGTTGCAAGGGTTACTTGCAGAGCTTAGCATGAAGGGCTGGAAACCTGCAAAACTTTACTGTGACAATAGAGCTGCACTTCAAATAGTTGCTAATCATGTGTATCACGAAAGGACAAAACACATTGAAATCGACTGTCATTTCGTGCGAGAGAAAATACAGGAAGGGATGATTCAAACAGAACATGTTTCAACACACGAGCAGCTTGCAGACATCATGACCAAGGCTTTGGGAAGTCAGCAGCATAGTTATTTGTTATCCAAGTTAGGAGTTGAAAATGTTTTTCAACATCCAACTTGAGGGGGAGTGTTGAGTTTGTAATCAGTTTTTCTGTTATAAATTAGTTAGAAGCAGTTTTGAGTTAGTTAGGTGGTTAGTTTGAAAGGTTGTATAAATAGATGAACAGATTGGAAGTTATTGTATTATTGAATATATCAGAATTATTTTTTTCATTTCCCTATTATACTTTAACATAAATGTTTCTGGTTAAGTTGTTATAACTGAAGTATGTTAGTTGGGCCAGTTAGTTAAGCCCTGTATTATATATAGTGGGTCTGTCCACTATTCATGACCCAATGAGAAGTATTCTTTTTGTATTTTATGAACTTTGTATTCGTTTCTTATATTCAGTAAAGTTCTGCAAACAGTGTCTTCTTTCTGCTGCTTTGATTCTCTCTTCCCTCTTTCAATTTACCATACCTAGTATCATCTTCATTTACTGTTACAACCATGAGCTTGACCCAAGCACTCTGGAACACATGCAACGACGGAGTCGGGGCACTTTATCGAGAAGGGACGACCTCGTTCATCAACTCCATGGTGAATAAAAGGTTCCAATTCTCAACGAAGCATGTTAAGGAGAGTTTCGTTGCAGCACTTAGTTCGAACAGTGCCGCAGCAGCTCAGGCTCATCTTTTCAAGCTCGCCCATGAAGGCCACCTCAAGCCCAGTGACTGAACAACACCATCGGCTTAGTTATCGGTTCCTTTGGAGAAATTTTATCCGCTAGTTTTGCTACGATTTTGTTGTGGTTTGTAGTATTTTCTGATATCTGTCATGTTACTGCTTCCATTTGGATAGATACGTTGTGGAGGATTAAATGTTATAAGTTGATGTTGTCTACTTGTCTTAAGTGTTAAATAAGATTAATTAATTGTGTTTGTTTTGATTTTCTCTTCAAAATTTCAGCATTTGTTTGTCGTTATTGTGTTCCAAATATAAATGATAAGTTAATTACATCATGTTCTCAAAGTAGGACCCTTATTTTAAATCATGTCCTTGTTTTAGTTTTATTCCTAAACTATGACTATGATTCTAAATTAGTCCTCAAACTTTTGAATATTTCAATTTCATCCTCAAACTTTGACATACATTCTAAATTGGTCCCCAAACTTTTTTGAACATTCTAATTTATTCCAAACCATATGTATATACTAATCACATCTCATGTTAATAAAATCTTTAAGAACATCTTATATTATTATATGTTTGAAAAATATGAAATTTAGGTTAAACTATGGTTGAAACTAATTACATGTTTGAATGAATTTGGGATGAAATTAGAATATTCAAAAGTTTGGGGATCAATTTAAAAAAAAGAGTCATGTTTAATGATTAATTAGAATATTCAAAAGTTTAAGGACTAATTTAAAATGAGACTCATTATTTAAGGATAAAAATAAAATATTCAAAAGTTTAAAAATTAATTTAAAATAAGGATTACAATTTAAAAACATACGATACAATTAACTATAAACTATAAAATCAACTATAACATGACAGATGCCATAGACAAATTCAGCCTGGTAGTAGATAGTAGATGACAAGATAATGGCGGCATTAAAAGGGCATAATAGAGCTCATGTATTCGATTATATCTATAACATCGTATTTGATTTATGAAAATGATTATTATAACAAAGATAATTATTTTTTAAAATTTTATTTTCATATTTAATTTATCATTATCTTTTTTGAACGATAATAATTTATTTTCAATAATAGTGTTTTTAATTAAAATGGTAGGAATGTCTTACTTCAAATTTTAAGTGTTTGACAATTCTTAGTATTTTAGATAAGATTGCTCCTGGAATAATGAGTTATTTTCATGTAGAATTTTCTCAGTTCATTTTCTATGTGTTTTGTTTTAAATAATAATAATAATAATAATAATAATATACATAAAGAATTTGATTTAGTGAAACTAGTAAATTTAGGTAACTAAAACCATTTTATATTTTCAATATTTAATATATTAGCCGTTTATAATTTTATGGGGGTAAAAATAATATTATTATATTAAAATAAAGTTAATAAAATTTAATTCTAAATTCTTACAAAAATTATAATTAACAATAAATCTTTGATAGATTATAAAATTACACATTATGTGCAATAAAATTAATATATTAAAAATTAAAAAAAATTATTATTGTCACAAAAAATTTCGATAGAGTATAAGATTTGTTGATATAGTATAAAATATGTATATGGATTTTGATATAAATATTTATAATTTAATATTAAAAATTAATCTTGATAAAAATAACATAATCAAAAGAATAATTTAATAAAATATGATCCAAATAATCATACATTCCTTCGACTTAACACTGTAATGGCACAGTAGTTTTAGGCCCAACCCTTCATGATTTTCCTGTCATCACTGACTATTTATTTTATGGTTTAGTTGAATGTGAGAAGCTAAGAAAGTAATTAACATTCGTTGGTTAGTTTAAAAAAGGAAATATTTTCTTTTGACAGCTGAAGCAAAGGAAATATTTTCTTTTGACAGCTGAAGCAAAGAAAATCAAAAGAAAAAATTGAGCTGAACCCTGGTAGTTAACAGAACTTTGAAGGCCTTCCTTCTTTATTTTCGTGTTTCCGGGTGGGGGTGGGGGTAGGAGGAGGGCGTTCAGTGTTTACTACCCATTGCAATATCTGCTTATGATTTTTAATTTTTTTCTATAAAGTACATAATCACTTGAATTTTTTAAATTATGTAAAGATCAATAATGATTTATCTTTGATCATTTATGGGATATATAGACCAGGTCGTGGAAGTGATAGTGAAGCAGAAGATCTTGAGCATGCTGAAAAGCTTCGTCAAGTTAAAGCAGTACTTGAGGAGGTTATATATCTTATCTTGAAATGACTTCCTTTTTCAGTCTACTAGCTTTGCTGCGTTCATTTTATCATACCTTTTAGGATGGTTCCTCATTCCTCTATCATAAATTGTCATTTCTTTATGTAGATAATATCCTTCTTTTACAAAAAAAATGTTAATTTGGTTCGGCTGTCACATTCTACATGTTTTTTTATTCAGGGAGGGCATTTTTCTGGTATTTATAGAAAGGTTCAATTAAAGCCTCTTAAGTGGGTTAAAGTTCCAAAAAGTAATGGTGAATGTGAAGAAGAACGGCCTTTTGAAGCACTGATGGTTCTTAAATATGGAGGTGTCCTTACACATGCTGGGAGGAAGCAGGTAATAACACGAACCTCCCTTGCATGTTTTCCTACATTACTAGTTCAAGTACTTATTCAGTTACCCTGTAGCTTATAGAGAGAATCACTTCTCACTTAAGAAACCAAACCATTCCATAAAATTTAGAAAATTGGTTGAATTTGAATTAAAAGTAAGGGTAGTATTGAAAAGGTCTATATGAGAAGGTTCATTAAATTAAAGTGGATATTCACTTTTAAGACATCTAACGTTGGAAGGACGGAAATTCATTTTGTTCATGGTTTTGAATTTAACTAACAAACTATTGCTTCATTTGTTTTCTTTCCCTTTTCATTTCTCTTCCATAATTTGTGTCTCAATTTCATGCAGGCTGAAGAACTGGGCAGATATTTCCGAAATAACGTGTATCCAGGTTACCAACATTAGAACCTTTTATCTATGACTGTTTGTAGTCTGCACCTTGCATGGCAGGAATGAGCTCATTATAGATACGTTGATGTTTTTGGTATTTGCTCCACTCAATCTTGACTATTAAAATTTATGTTATTTGTTTGGTAGATAAAATAGTGATGAATTCAGAAGTATGTTACTTTTTTCTAGATGGAATTTTATATAAATTACAGGTGAAGGTACTGGCCTTCTTCGCCTTCATAGTACATACCGTCATGATCTAAAAATTTACAGTTCTGAAGAGGGCCGTGTTCAGGTATGCCTTAACTCATAGATGAATCAGTATATATTTTGATCTTTACTTGTTGCTTCACTTCTGAACCAAGTTGTTAATTTGCTATAAACTTATTGTCATTTCTGTTTGACATCATTAATAGGTTTGTAAATTAAATAATTTAACAGATGTCTGCAGCTGCTTTTGCCAAAGGCCTGCTTGACCTTGAAGGGCAACTAACACCGATCCTGGTATGTAATGTTCCCTTAATCAGTACGTTCTTCCTTTTAACACTGACTTTGTATGACTGAGTTGGTTATCATTTTAGTTGTTAGCAAGGATTCATCTATGTTGGACGGACTTGACAATGCCAACACTGAGATGGAAGAAGCCAAGGTTTATATCTCTTCTTGCCCTTCATTTGCCAAGGTTTATCCTTTCTTAAGATAGAAGATTCCTAAAGAAACAAGACTTCTACCAGTATCATATGACTTGTTGACGAAAACGGGTAAAAAAAACAAAAGAACACGAGAATTTTACGAGGTTCGGCAATGTGCTTACGTTCTCGGTGCCTAGGCGGAGCTAGAAGTTTTATTCAATGATGTTTTAGGTCTAGGTTACATCTCTATTTATAATAGAAAACTCTGGTACATAATTACAAAATCACCATGTACCGTACCGCGGGGGTTGCGCCCCCGCACCCCAACCCACATAATTCGTAACCCCACAACGAGACTTTCTTTGTAAGGACAGTTGATGTTCGCTTCGCTCACTCCGCTCCATCTCCTGTCCTCTTTACTGGATATTATGAGCCATACCTAACATGACTACACATTAAACTAGAATTCTTGGCTTGATAATTGATTTATGTTTCCATTGGTGAACATTATGAAATTTTAACTACAAAAGGTACTCTGCTGCATAACTTGATTATTTAATTGGGCCACGAGGAGAGCTCTGAAAATGCTTGTTTATGATCTTGAGTAACCTGGATATGATCTGGAGAATCAAATAAGTGAACTCATGGTCCAAAAGGAAATTCTGTCTGTCTATCTATCTACAAAGATAGATCATGCGAGAAATTGAGAGAATAAAAAATAAAGAAATTTTCTAATTGAAATTCTCTTTGGAAAACAGAAAACACAATTATAGGCTATGGACTACAAGTTAGAGCTCTACTATGTTTTTATCTCCTAATCCTTATCTTATTTCTTAAGAAAATTAATTCTAGGGTAAAGAACGCAAATGGTCCTCGACTATAGGATATTTTTTTATTAAACTCCTCGATTATTAAAAGTTGCATAATGGTCCTTTGATTGTGGAGTGTTGCTTTGTTGAGTCCCTCTACTATTAAAAGTTACAAAATGGTCACCCGACTATTTATTATGATCTAGACTCATCATTTTTCTTTAAAAAATTGGCGATTGTTTAAGCTGGACGTTAACATGATGACTGAGAAATGATAGTCGTTTGAGATTTTTGGTTCAAATTTTATCATATCCTAGTCAACAAGTTAACGTTCAACTCAGAATGTTATCCATTTTTTGTTAACAAAAAATGACGAGTTTGGAACGTAATGAATAGTCTGATGACTATTTTGTAACTTTTAATAGTTGAAAGGCTCAACAAAGTAACATTTTATAGTGAATGACCATTTTATAACTTTTAATAATCGATTGACTGAACAAAGTAGTATCCTATAGTCAGGGGATCATTTGCATTCTATACCCTTAATTATAATTGTATAATATAAATAAATTAAATTTTTAATTAAAATAAAATTACTAATTGTCAGCAACTTTCTACACTTCCCCCTCAAGCTGGGGTGTATGAAGATCCATAATTTATTACCTAAGATCTCAAGTTATGGTTTTTAGCCATATCTGCAAAAGAATTCCAACATTTTCGGATATTGTTCATTGGAAGTGACCATGACTGCTAGTGGGGTGATTGTCGGAGCCTAAGCTGATCTCCGACGATGATGTAGTTAGATTTCCCAGGACTTTCTTGGCTTGATACCATGTGAGACTACAGCAAAACTGATATGTAGCGGCGTTTTTAGCGGCGTTTAGAAAGGAAACGCCACAAAAGTTAAACATATAACAGCGTTTACAATCATAGGGCCACAAAATTGATACTTTAGCGGCGTTTGTAGTAAAAATGTTGTAATAGAATTGACATATAGCGGCGTTTTTACAAAAAACGTCGCAATAGGGTGGTAAATTAGCGGTGTTTATACCACAAACGCCGCAATAGAGTATAAATTTTGCGGCGATTTAGCCAAAACGCCGCAATAGAGTGGTAAATTAACGGCGTTTGTACCATAAACGCCGCAATAGATATAAATTTTGCAGCGATTGAGCCAAAACGCCGTAATAGAGTGGTAAATTAGTGGCGTTTATACCACAAACGTCGCAATATATTACACATATAGTGTCGTTTATTCCTCAAACGCCGTAATAGTGATAATCAATAGTGGCGTTTTTAGACAAACGCCACAATAGTGTTAATCAATAGTGGTGTTTTTAGACAAACGCCGCAATAGTGTTAATCAATAATGGCATTTTTAGAGAAACGCCGCAATAGTGTTAATCAATAGTGGCGTTTTTAGACAAATGTCGCAATAGTGTTAATCAATAGTGGCATTTTTTAACAAACGCCATAATAGTGTAATCAATAGTGGCGTTTTTTTGTATAAACGCCGCAAAATGTTAAATATATAGTCCTCTTTTTCTCTTACTCGAACCCTAAAATCATTTAAACTCTTCTTCCCTCAAAGATTCTTCTCTGGTACAACAACAGCTCTCAAACGATTCCAAGCGACGTCGTCGTTTGTATGTCCCGACGACCAAATTGGGCCTCTCACCGACGAACTATAACACAATTGCACGGTTTGATCCATATAGAGTTTACAAGGACGAAAAACTTAACGATGCGTCGTCAAACAAGGAAAACAGTTTTCCTACATCTTTTCCCCACGAATGACCAAAACTAAATTCTACTGAACAATATGGTGAAGACTGTTTATGCAAAGCTTTAATGTTTCTAAATTGTAATGTATTATGTTGTTAAGCATTTTTATGCATACCTTATGTCTTAATTCAAATGTATGGTTGTTGTTACTTATATAAAGCTACATATATCAGTGAATTTAGTAGATGAAGAGCAAAAATGATTAGTTGTAAAATGAACTAATGTTATGTAAATTAGTTTGTATCCAAAAACGCCGGTAAAGAATAATATTTTAGTGGCGATTTTACAAAAACGCCATAAAATACTCTTAATTTTGTGGCGTTTGGTAAAAAATGTCACTAAAAAGTTATACTTTAGTGGCGTTTTTGGATACAAACGCCTCAATAGAGTTGTTATTAGGTGGCGTTTTTTAAAAAACACCGCAATAGAATAGTTCCTTAGTGGCGTTTTCATAAAAACACAGCAATAGAGTAGTTCCTTTGCGGCATTTTTATTAGAAATACCGCAATATCCTGATATATAGTGGTGTTTGTATAAAAACGCCAGTATTGACAAGTACAAACGCGACATTTATGTTAAAAGCGCAGCCATTACATGCTACAGTAGCGGCATTTGTTTATACAAACGCCGCAATAGTTAAACAATTTAATACCCATCGTTCTAAATCCCTAATTTTCCTACCCATTTACTGAATATTGTTCCTAACATTCTCTACCAGCGCAACCTTCTCCAACAACGCAAGCTTCTCCACCAGCGCAACCACCACCAGCGCAGCCTCACGTTGCCGTTGACCTTGCATCCTTGACAACCCTTCTCCAATTTGCGTCCTACCAAAAGTTTCTCCACCAGCGCAGCCTCAGAATCGAAACGGTTAGTCAACCTTGAACCATCGGTCGACCGAATTAAGGGTTGATTGATTTTTATTTGTTTCAAATTTTATGACAATTGAGTTTTGTAGTAGGAGATTGAATACCTGCATTTGTTCAAAAATAATAATTATTCTTGCCCTCATTCAAAACATATTAGGTTTCCTGTAAATTCAAAAACTTTACAAATATAAGAAAACAACTGAAAAATTACAGAATAATTCCAATATTTCAAGTTCAAAACTTCACAAAAACATGAAGTTACAGAGAATAAAACAGAGATATTAGTAACATCAGCAGTAAAAGTATAATGTTCAGCAAAAGTTGCTACTAAACATTGTTACTATTAGCATGAAAAAACCACAGGAGTATACACAATTTTGAAAGGAAATGTACAGATAAAAATTTGATGACATCACTGAAATCATTAAATAAACAGAATGGCGTTTCTTTAAAAACAAAGAAAGAAGATCAAACCTTTGCCTCACTTTAACATGTTAAGCCAGTTTCATTATATGTTGTGAATTGTGTACAAAGAATTCAGCCGTGAGTGGAGGGGGTCTAAATCCCCAACCTGAAACTTGGATAAAAGCTTGGTAAGTGACATGTACCTTGGGAGCTATGGAGTAATGCGGCAGATAACTATAGGACTTAAGTGTTATATTGTGTAAATTGTAGTTTGCACAATGTTATATGTTTTAGTGTCATTTATTCTATTTAAAATTTAGAGTTTATGATTTTAGGGTTTAAGGTTTAAATTTTAGGTTTTAGAATTTAAAGTTTTATATTGTAGTGTTTAGCATTAAAATAGACATTTATTGTATAAATTATTTGTTACATTAAAATAGACATATTGTATAAATTATTTGTTACACAATATGTATATCAAATACTTTCTCTAAATTAAGACTCGATATGTCACTCAAATACAAAGAAAATGAATTTATTCAGTAAGAGTCTTTAGAATTTATTTAGCAATCTCAGTAGTAATTTCTTTTTCTTTTAAAATTTATAATTCGAATAATTTATTTGTAGGTGTATGTTCATTATCAATTAACTAAAAAATTATGAATAGATATTACATATAAAAACAATCTATTGCCACGGTTTAAATTAACTAAAATTTAAAATTATGTTCATTATCATTATCAATATATTGTTGGATATTACATATAAAAAATAATTTATTCAATATTATTCTGTCGATGCCCTTTCGGCTGTTTTAATCAATGCTATTCCCAAAAAATATTATTCCATCGTGTGATTTGAAATGTTGGATGTTTATTGCCATATTGATTGGCTTTCTCTTCCATGTAGATGCTACTAACGTTCTGGAGTCTAGGGGGCACATTATTATCATTGCAATAAATTCCATACAATATGAATAAAGACACTTCTAAATTTCTGTTTTTGTGCAGATATGCAGATTTTGAGTCATGTTTGAATGATGACAGAAACATCCGGGCATTATTTGAGCGAGCATTAAGCTCACTACCACAAGAAGAATCTATTGAGGTACTATTTTGAACTTAATAATAAATAAAATCTAAGAATTGAAGCAAACCCTGTTCCTGAAAGTTCCTGAACCTCGGAAATCACTGTTGATGTTGGAGTTTGATCGAGTTGCACAGGTATTAGTGACATGCATATATTATTCTGATTCAGATTAATATATTAAGTGGTTCTGATTCGAATTCTCAAGTTCATGATAAATAAATACGCATTAATGCAATGTTTAATTCTGGACTTATCATACTTTAGAATTAAGCTTAAATGTAACTATTTATGCTCTCTCAGGAAAGCCTCTGTAAGGTTAGTTGTGGATCACCAAACATTTCTGGTTCTGGTTCATCGAAATAGCATCATAATAAACATTTTCCAGGTTTGTCCATGATACTCATTAAGTAAAGTATTTTTACGTTGCTTTAAGATTGTCAAGTCAAGTGTATTAAATTATTCTTGGTGTCGCATAGTTGACTAGGACTTAAGTGGGTTGTCCTTGGAATTCTAACTTCTAACAATCATAATTAATCACTGAGATATAATATGCATTTCACTGAGAAATTGTTGACTACGACTTAAGTCGGTTGTCCTTTTGTGTTATTCTTTTTCTTTATTTCTTCAACCTTTCGCTAATGGGTTAATTGGGTTTATATTTCGTTCTAAGTTCTTAATGCCTCTCTCGGTAACAATGAAACATGAGTCTGTTTAGATGTAAATGCCACATTTCGATGAAACATATGTGTAAGTATTTAGTTGGCTGAGATGGATCAACAAATGGCTAACTTGAAAGCGGAAAATGAAGGGAAGCAGAGAGAGCAGCAATGGAAGCAGCTAGAGTAGCAGCAGAAGCGGAGAGAGAAGCAGCGGCAGTACAGAGAGAAGCAGTGGCAGCACAAAGAGAAGCATCATATCAGCAGAGATGTGAAGAATTTGAAAAACGACTCAATGATATGATGCTGATGATACAGAAAACGCAACCTCAGAATCCACCTTCGTAGTCTCATTTATGTTATGAGCATTCTGTTAATGTTATTGAACCGTGTTTAACTGAACTTATATTACGTTAATGAAAACTTTTTTTTATTATATTGGATTTGATGTTGCTTGTTATGGATATATAGTTTGATGTTATTGTTGTTTTGTTTGTTGGATAATGGAACAGGTTGAAATAACAGATTTGGGGTAATCGAACATAATTTTTAAATTGGTTAAAATATGTGTTATTTAGCGACGTTTGTTAAAAAAACGCCGTAATATACTAAACATTTAGCGGCGTTTGTAACCTAAAACCGCTTTTATATATCGGTCCTTTAGCGATGTTTGTATCCTAAAAACGCCGCTAAATCGCAACACCTATTGCGACGTTTATGAGGAAAATGCCACTAAACCTCAACACTTATTGCGGCATTTGCGATAAAAACGCCGCTAAATCTCAACAACTACTACGGCGTTTGTGAGAAAAAACGCCGCTAAACATCAACACCGATTGCACCGTTTTTAATACAAACGCCGCTAAATATCAACACCTATTACGGCATTTTGTGAACAAACGCCGCTATATATCATAACCTATTGCGGCATTTTTTGTTCACAAACGTCGCGAACTTTAGCGGCACTATTTTCAGCGGCGCTTTTTGCGGCATTTGTCATAACGCCGCATGCGTTTTTAGCGGCGCTTATAAACGTCGCTATAGGTAAAAAACGTTGCAAAAAGCTAGTTTTGTTGTAGTTAAATTGAGATAATAGAAGGGAAGTAATTAAGAGAAGAAGAAAAAAAATTCTAATTAAAATCCTTATTGAAAAACAGAAAACACAATCTGTTTTTATAGGATGTGGATTACAAGTTATAGTCCTATTGGGATTCCTTTCTTCCTTTTATCTCCTAAACATAAGAAACTTGACCCTAATTGTACAATATAAATAATGTTGCGGAAGACGGCTATCGGATAGAGCAAAATCGTAACTGATAATTTGAGAAAATAAAAATGAAGATAAAGAAGACACAAATTTACGTGGAAAACCCCTAAATAATATAGGGTAAAAACCATGGGCAACGATATAAGAATTTCACTATGAGAACATAGAAATTACAACTTCTCTCAATCTCCAAGGAGAAAACAATGATAATTCTCTCTTGATAAAAAGGATAAAACAACTCTCAAGAAACTCTCTAAATTCTCTCTAGTATTGGAAGAAAGCTAGAATGCTTTGGGATGGTTTTGAAGCTAAATGAGCTAGGGTATTTATAGTAGAATCTTTAAGGACTAATCTTGAAAATACCCTAAATTACAATGACTAAATATGAGATTTTGACATGTCACTTTGCAACCATTATTAGTGCCAACTATGAACCATTATTGTTGCCAACTTACAATGCATTATGAGCCATTATTATGCATTATACAACTATTATTAGTTGTATGACAACTAATAATTTTGCATGACAACTAATAAATAAGTTATAAATAAATTTATCTCCTAAAATATATTATTGACAAGTGAAATAAAATTTCTAATTGTTGGAAACTTTCTGCAGATCATTCGGTGCAAAATCCTTTTTTCACATTTTTTTAGTGTTGTCTTAGGATTCCTCTATATATTGCAGGCTCGCCTGAATGATGTTATAACTTCTGGCGAGAGGAGAATTCATAGTAATGGAACATCTAAATGTCCCTGGATGACTGATGGAGCGGATTGCCTTCTAATTGTTCTGAACTCCTTCCCAAACTGGTAATTTCATCATACAAGTGAACATTCAACATTGTAGTCACTCCTTCACCCCCTTTGTTACCAAGTGAATATGCAATACAAGATTTTACTATAACTATTCTCTTTTTTCATTTTGCACCTCCTATATACCAGGTAACCTTGACTAAGAAGGTTACTCAACAAGTGAGACTACTTGCCATGTATGAGGATGAGACTCTTATAGAAGCGAGCACATATGATGTGATTCCTCCATATGACCAAGCAAAAGCTCTTGGCAAGACGAATATTGACATTTATCGGATTGCTTCTGGATTGCCTTGTGGTAGTGAGGGATTCCTCTTGATGTATGCTTGGTGGAGAAAACTTGAAAGAGATTTGTATAATGATCGTAAGGAATAAGTATCCAACATTTATTCTTCAGTATACTTGTGCATCAGGTATCTGAATATTCTAGCAGATATTTTATATTCTCTTTCACGTGTATTGTATGAAGAGCAATATCCATTCTTAAGCTATATATAATTTTCCATTTGGTGTCTTGAAAGTGTGATTCTTTCCCATCATTTTATTTAGCATTATTGGTTTTACTGACAATGGACTTTCCTGCAGATGCTTTGATATAACTCAAATTCCTGATGTTTATGACTCTTGCAAGTGAGTATCTATTTTAATTCTTTTTACATTTTTTTTCAAGAAAGTAGGCACTACATGCATAATAAATTATATATTTCAGATAACGTATGTACATGTCCTTTCTTCCTGGTTTAAGAATTTTATATTTGCTACCACCCGTTTCTCACAACATAATTTCCTCCTCATTTGTTCTTGCTTAAACCTTTGAATCCACTAAACAGAAAATTGAAAACAATCTATTTATGTCAAGGAGATTGTTGCGTGATTTTAATTGCATTCGAGCACCACACATTATAGTTGAAATGAACTTTCTTTGGATTTTAGAAAACGAACCATCAATGATGATGGCGTAGGCGGATCGAGGGGCTGAGTGTTGCATCTCACCATCCTATTGGATATAAGGTTGAACATTTGCTTCTTTTTAAGTAGATTGTTGCATATTAAAATTTAGGGTCTCTTTGAATTAGGAAAAATAATGTATGAACAAAATGGTCTGGGATAGTGAGAAGGTTGGAGATGTTGGTTTTTTGGCAAAGTCTCACATTGGTTGTGTATAAGGAGGAGTGGAAATTCTTTTGTTAAAAATAGAGCCATCCTCCTCCTTAGTTAAGCATCCTACAAATATAAGTCTTCTTCACTATTAAAGGCTATTTATACTATTTCTCTCTTTGTAATATTTCCTCTATTAGTGAAATATTATTTTAGTAGTGTTCAAGGAGGTAGGTATAATTTTGGCCTAACCTCGTTAAATCTTGGTGTTCTTTTTATGTCTATTTAATAGCTATTGTCGGGTATAGTTGTTGTTAATTATTGTCCTATTAAAATTACTTGTCTTGGTAGTTCTATTTAAGAAAAGTGGGTTTTAAGAGGGACCATTGTGACCCCTCCTCTTTCCTGGGAATCTACCTTGGGGTGATTTTTAGTACAATCGTTTTCACACTAGTCACCTAGATAATAGTTTTCAAGGTGAATTTGTTATTATTGGTGGAAATTAACCCGAATTCCACAACAATTAGTATCAGAGCTCTTGGTTTATTTTAGTATGCTCTGTGGTTGCGGCTTAGGCTGATCTTCCACATCAGAAAAAAAATTCCTTGGGGTAATGTTGAGGAGAAAGAATGGAAGAGGATCAATAGATTGGCATGTGGTACTATTCGATCGTGTCTTTCTAGAGAGCAGAAGTATGCATTTTCTAAGGAAACTTCTGCAAGTAAATTGTAGAAGGCACTGGAGGAGAAATTTTTAAAGAAAAGCGGTCATAACAAGCTATACATGAAAAAGAGATTGTTCCGCTTCAACTATGTACAAGGTACCACTATGAATGATCACATTACTAGCTTTAATCAGCTGGTGACTGATCAGATGAATATGGACGTGACTTTTGAAGACGAAGACCTAGCTCTGATGTTGATGGGATCACTTCCTGATGAGTTTGAGTATCTTGAAACTACTCTACTTCATGGGAAGGTTGATGTGTCTCTCAGTGAAGTAATTGCTGCCTTGTATAGTTATGAATTGAGAAAGAAAGACAAACAAGAAAACACAAGTGTCGAAGTAAAAGCTCTTGTTGTTAGAGGTCGTTCGAAGAGTCATAATAAAAGGAAGGAGAGGGAGATCGAAGTCAAAGTCCATATTGAGCAAAGATGAATGTGTCTTTTATCGAGAAAAATGGCACTGGAAGAAAGAATGTCCCAGGCTAAAGAATAAAGGCAAACCTGAAAGGGGAAAGGTTGTCTCAGAATCAAATGTGGTCGAGTATGATGATACATATTCAGATTTCACATTCGCTGCTACGCCATCAACCAGCTGTTCCAGTTCATGGCTGTTAGATTCAGCTTGTAGCCACCATATGACCCCTAATAGAGAATGGTTCTTTGATTTTAAAGAACTAAAAGGTGGAATTGTCTACACAGTAAATAATTCCCCTCTTGACACAATTGGGATTGGTTCAATTCGCTTGAGGAATCAGGATGGATCAATCAGAACCTTAACAAGTGTTCATTATGTACCAGATTTAATGAGAAATCGTGTGGGAACCTTAGAGTCAAAAGGTTTAGAAGTGAGGGAAAAAGATGGGATTATGAGGTTATCTCTGGTGCACTGGTGATAATGAAGGGAATCCAGAAAAGAAACAATGTGTATTACTTTCTGGGTAGTATAATTGTTGGGACAGCAGTGGCAGCTTCTACTGATGAACAGGAGTCAGAAGCAACCAGGTTATGGCATATGCGCTTGGGGCATGTTGGTGAAAAATCCTTGAAATTGTTGATAGATCAAGGATTATTGAAGGGTGCTCGAGCTTGCAAATTAGTTTTTTGTGAGCATTGCATCAAAGGGAAGAAGACGAGGGTGAAATTTGGAACAGCAATCCATGATACTAAAGGTATTTTGGATTATGTTCATTCATATGTATGGGGGCCTTCCAAGACAACTTCATTGGGAGGAAAATATTATGTCACCTTTGTGATGATTTTTCCCGGAGTTTGGGTTTATACAATAAAAGACAAATGATAGGTTCTAGGATTTTTCCTTAAATGGAAAAAGATGGTGGAGACTCAAACAGGTAGAAAAATCAAACGTCTCCGTACAGACAATGGTGGAGAGTACAAAAATGATCCATTTCTAAAAGTCTGTGAAGAAGAATGTATTGTCAGGTACTTCACTGTCAGATCTACACCACAGCAAAATGGGGCGACAGAGCGAATGAACCGGGCATTAGTGGAGAAGGTTCAATATATATTGTCTAATTCTGGGTTAGGCAAAGAATTTTGGGCTGAGGCTTTGGTTTATGCTTGTCACCTTGTCAACCGCTTACCATCGACTGCTATTGGCGGTAAAACACCATTAGAGAAATGGTTTGGAGTACCTGCTACAGATTATGATTCCTTACATGTGTTTGATTCCACTGCATACTACCATGTTAAGGAGTCAAAGCTGGATCCAAGAGCAAAGAATGTGATCTTTATGGGATCACCTCTAGTGTGAAAGGCTATCGTCTTTGGTGTCCAGAAACAAAGAAAATAATCTTCAGCAGGGATGTTACCTTTGATGAATCTACCATGTTGAGAAAGGTGACTTCAGAAAAATTGGAGCAGATAGATGGAACTCCCAAACATGTGGAGTTTGAAGGAAGCAGAATTGACCCAGCCAGTAAAGAAACTGATGATGACTCTCCTATGGTAGAAGAAGAGTCAGATGAAGAAGAGGTTCAGACCCAAGAACCTCCACAGCAACATGAATCAATTGCACTCAGAAAAGGAAAGAGGACCATTAGACAACCTGCTCGTTATGCTGGTATGGTCTCTTTTGCATCACCAATTGCAATTGATGACGTTCCTGCCACTTTTAATGAAGCATTCCAAAGTTCAGAACATAAAAAGTGGAGGCTCGCCATGAATGAAGAAATGCAATCCCTTCAAAAGAATCAGACGTGGAAACTAGTTAGTCTTCCGAAGGGAAAGAATGCAATTGGGTGCAAGTGGGTATATGCAAAGAAAGATGAATTTCCTGACAAGAATAACATCTGGTACAAAGAAAGATTGGTGGCTAAAGGCTATGCTCAAACGGAGGGAGTTGATTATAATGAAGTATTTTCTCCAGTTGTAAAACATTCCTCCATCAGAATTTTGTTGGCTTTGGTAGCACATTTGGATTTGGAACTAGTTCAGATGGATGTAAAAACTGCATTTTTACATGGAGACTTGGATGAGGAAATCTACATGACTCAGCCAGATGGATTCAAAGTTGCTGAAAAATAAGAGATGGTGTGCAAATTAGAAAAATTATTGTACGGATTAAAGCAATCTCCAAGGCAGTGGTACAAGCGATTTGACAAGTTTATGATAGGGCAGAAGTACACAAGAAGAAAATATGATCATTGTGTGTATTTACGCAAGCTACAAGACGGATCATATATATATCTTCTTATTTATGTTGATGATATGCTGATAGCTTCCAAGAGTCAGACAGAAATTGCGAAACTAAAGACTCAATTGAACAGGGAGTTTGAGATAAAGGAGCATTGGCAAGCTGTGAAATGGATTATGTGGTATATTCTGAACACCGTAGATGTTGGTTTGGTCTTTCAGCAGGACAAACAAGATGGTCAGTGTGTAGTTGGGTATTGTGATTCAGACTATGCAGGTGATTTGGACAAACGTCGGTCAACTATTGGTTATGTGTTTACATTTGCAAAGGCACCAGTCAGTTGGAAGTCCACCTTACAGTCAACAATGGCTTTGTCTACTACAAAGGCAGAGTATATGGCAGTTACAGAGGCTGTGAAGGAGGCAATTTGGCTTCAAGGGTTGCTTGGTGAATTTGGAATAGAACAGAAGAACATCAAAGTACATTATGACAGTCAGAGTGCTATTCATTTAGCAAAGAACCAGGTTTTACCATACAAGGACGAAGCACATCGATGTTCGATATCACTTTGTACGAGAGATTCTAAAAGAAGGTGGACTCATAATCCAGAAGATTCGGACCACTGAGAATCCTGCTGATATGTTGACAAAAGTGGTAACTGCGGTCAAGTTTAAACATTGTTTAGACTTGGTCAATATTGTTACAAATTGAAAGATGAATTTGCAGACACTACTAAAGATTGGATTTTTTAGAGATGTGTGTGGAATTTGCCAAGGTGGAGATTTGTTGGTTTTTTGACAAAGTCCCACATTGGTTGTGTATAAGGAGGAGGGGAAATTCTTTTGTTAAAAATAGAGCCATCATCCTCCTTAGTTAAGCATCCCACAAATATAAGCCTTCTTCACTATTAAAGGCTATTTGTACTCTTTCTCTCTTTGTAATATTTCCTCTATTAGTGAAATATTATTTTAGTAGTGTTAGAGGAGGTAGGCATAATTTTGGCCTAACCTCGTTAAATCTTGGTGTTCTCTTTATGTCTATTTAATAGCTATTGTCGGGTATAGTTGTTGTTAATTATTGTCCTATTAAAATTACTTGTCTTGGTAGTTCTGTCTAAGGAAAGTGAGTTTTAAGAGGGACCATTGTGACCCCTCCTCTTTCCTGGGAATCTACCTTGGGGTGATTTTTAGTACAATCGTTTTCACAGTAGTCACCTAGATAATAGTTTTCAAGGTGAATTTGTTATTATTGGTGGAAATTAACCCGAATTCCACAACAAGAGATGCATCTTGTCGTAATGTAACAAATGTGTGGTACACCATGGCATAATTTTGATGTTCGATAAAATCTATAATCCAAATCTCCAACATTCATAAGCATGAATATCAATATCCTTGGTTTTAAAAGTTTAAATGATTCGTTTCTTTCTGAGCTCCTATGTATATTTGATTGACCTTCTTTTCAACAGATATGATCTTCTGCATAATGCTCATCTTAATCTGGAAGGTCTGGATGAGCTCTTCAAAGTTGCCTAGGTACAAACATGTTACCACCATGGAGAAATTGATGTTCATCTCTTATAATTGATTTATTAGTTGTTCTTTTCTATTTAGACTTATCTAGCCATACTTTGCAACTTCTTTGTTTACATTATCTTAGTTGGATTGCATTTTATCCTAACGCTCTTGACTAACCTGCATGTTGTTGTCTCAGCTTCTTGCAGATGGTGTCATCCCTAATGAATATGGAATTAATCCGTCGCAAAAACTAAAAATTGGATCGAAGGTGATTCCTTTTTGCATGTCCTTTTCAATTAGAAAGGTTCTAAGAAAAGATGATGCTTTAGTATGTTTATGTTATTTTATTCAAGTCCCTATTGATTCCCCCTTCAACCATGAGCATTTGCAGCCCTTATTAATGCAAATTAAACTGTTCATGCTTCCCCTAATTTTTTTTCTGTTCTTTTAGATTGCTCGTCGTTTGTTGGGTAAAATTTTGATCGATCTGAGGAATACTTGTGAGGAAGCCCTTAACGTTGCTGAGTTAAAGAGTAACCAAGACAAGTGCTCAAATTCAATAAAGACTGAAAAGGATTATAAAGAGTCCCCACCAAAGTTCGTCATCAACACTGAAGACACAAGACGATCTAGCACCACAAGTGAAATTTCAATGGATCCCGATGATGACGATGACTTTTTTTTGAAAAATGAGTACTTTGTATTTGATTACAAGGTACACCATCCCAAGAACCTCATTAAAAAACCTCGCTAATCCTAATTGGAGGAAAAAGAGTGTACCATTGGGATGGAATATAGGAAACAAAGGAGATCCCTATATACATTAAAGCCAAGTAGAACACAAAGCTGCAGAAGCAGCTCATAACAAGCTACATATTTTGAAGCACCAAAGTGAACTACACATGTCCAACCAATAAAACATTCCTGCAACATCCTTCGAACCAAAAACAAATGATCATGATCCTATCGAAGGATACGGGATAGAACCACTGCACATGGAAAAGAAAGACATCCACCACTGGGGATACACTCTCCAGAAAATACAACATAGATCCAATGACGAATATTATGCTTCATCCAGTGTAAATAAACATGAAACCTACTCAAGCAACAGAGGAAGGATGTCCCAAGGCAGAACCAAAGTCAGCTTGAATACCGCTCACGCACAACATCTGGTAATCAGATAACGGAGCAAGGAACAGAAACTGCACTGCTAAAGACCTTCAGCAAATCGCATAATAAAAAAGACCATAATGAAAGAACATACAACAAATAACTGTGCAATTATTCACAACCAAATCAGCAACACCCAATCACTAAAGATTCAGGGCAACGAACAAAGTCTTGAACGTTGTGGATCAACGATGGCCAGATCGACTTAGCCCAAACACCTATCTGAACCATAGTTAAATAGAACATCTGTTCAGCCGAAAAGGACCTTCCCTGAAACCTGATTTTATTTCTGCACAGCCATATTTTCCATATCAACCCGAAGAATCCAAGTTTCTAAAGATCGCGAAATTTCTTTTTGATTTTCTGGGTAACCCAAACCTGCAGCAAATCCTTGACATTACAAGGGAACACAATACTAATATGCCACACCGAACATCAGCGTTGCCAAACCTTCCAGACACACTCACAATGACACAGTACATGGTTAATAGTTTCGGGAGCTAGATTGCAGAAAGAACAAAGAGATAGATCAGAACTAAGAACTCCTCTCTTTTCCAACTGTAACCGGCAACCTTTGATGCACTGCTTTCCAAACCAAACCAGAAACTTTTGGAGGGACAAATTTACACCAACCCGCTTTTCAAATAGAGTCTTGAATTTTGCCCTCAGAAGCCTCCTTAAAACAATAATCTTTAGGTGTGTACCTACCATTCACTGTGCCTAACCATTTCAACCTGTCCCGAAAGGAGCTAAACTAGCAGCTCTCGAAAGAACAGAATAAAATCAGACCAAAGCTCCTTTTCCCATTCAAAAAGTTCTCTCCTCAACTCAATTTTTCACTCCAAGACATATAATAAACGGGTAAATTAGATAACACGGATCTAATTAGCGTTAGCCTACCCGCAAAAGATAAAAATTTGCCTTTCCAGCCCTGTAAACGAGATTGAATCTTGTCCAACACAAGTTGCCACAAAACCGTTGAATTCTTTTTATGACCTAACGAAAGACCCAAATAAGTTTAGAAGCATATCCCAACCACAATTAATAGAATCTGCCCATCTTCTAATTCTGTTTCTTCAACATTGATACAAAAAATCTTGGACTTCTTCATATTTAATTTTAAACCCGCTGCTAGCTCAAAAATTTTAAGAACACGATTGAAGTTTTTTAAACTATTTTCATTTGCTGCCGGAAACAGTAGAAGATCATCTGCAAATTGAATATGTGATATTTCTACACTTCCATACCCAATTCGTACCCCACCACACAACCCACTTGCAATCGCTTTTTCTGATACTAAGGGCCTCACCCACTACATTAAAAAGCAATGGCGACAATGGACATCACTGCCTTACTCCCCTCTTAATAGAAAAATTATTGGAAGGGCAACCATTAACTAGAACGGCTATTGACGGAGACGAAATACAGAAATGGACTCATTTTCTCCATCTTTTTCCAAAGCCTATTTTCTTTAGGATCAGATTCAAAAATTCGGTAAATAAAACCTTTTAACTCGTATATTTTTCTCTATATATTAGTTTATCATCTTATATCCGATTTCTTTTTCGTTCAGGTATGCAAATGTGAAGACACCAGAGCGTCATGTGCGAACAAGGCTTTACTTCACATCAGTAAGTGCAAATCACGATAGAACTTACCGTTCTCTTTCTATCTTTCGATTATTATTTTGTTTTGTTATTTAATATCAGGCCTTTCTCATCAACGCAACAGGGAAAAGATCCCGAATTTTCTATATATATACTTGCGATGATTTTTCTGGGGCTTTAAACTTTTCAACAGGAATCTCATATCCATTCTCTCATGAACGTACTTCGTTACTGTAACCTGGACGAATCTCTTCAGGGAGAAGACAGCCTCATTTGCCAGAGTTCTTTAGAACGTTTATATAAAACCAAGGAGCTTGACTACATGAGTTACATTGTGATAAGGATGTTTGTTGCTCCAACTTCTTTTTTCGAAGTATGCATGAGTTACATGAGGTAGGTGCCTTATTATATAATCAATCACATATCTGTCTAAGGCTTTGTTGCTCCAACTTCTTTTTTCGAAGTATACGTGTTTGACTCGAGTCTCGTACACATATCCGTATATAGATATGGGAATATGACTTTCCAAATCGTGCTGTATCCGGTACTTGTCCACGAGTCTGACACTTTGTAGGCATTTCCTCAGACAGTCAATAAGCAATCTTCTGCCATAAACTGGTGGCTTTTTCTTCGAGCCGCCGACCTTTCCATTGGTAAGAATTTTCATACTGAGCTAATGTTCTGTGTGGAACTGATATTACAGGTAGCATTAGAAGACCCAAAAAGGTTCCGCATCGAGTTGACATTTAGCCGTGGTGCAGATTTATACCCATTGGAGGTAATTCTGTCAAATACACAGTGAAATTCTCATGGAAGAAACAATTGATATCAAAAGTTAATTCGATATAAACTGTTTTTTGTGCTTGTTGGCTGCATGAAACTATGCTAATGCTATTTGTATCGACAGACGAACGATAGCGAGGCTGCTTCACTTCACCAAGAGCATACATTGCCAATAATGGGTCCAGAAAGGCTGCAAGAACTGGGATCCTATCTCACATTAGAGAAAATGGAAAAGATGATTCGTCCATTCGCAATGCCGGCCGAAGACTTCCCTCCTCCTCCAATTCCTGCTGGATTTTCGGGTTACTTCTCCAAAAAGCGTCGGTGCTTGAGCGTCTGGTAAGTCTCTGGCCTTTCCATAAGAATGCCGCTGCTACCAATGGAACGTAACAAGTTGGTTCTTCATTCCCCTTTCTCAACTTGGTTTTCCCATTCTTTTTGTTGTGTTAATGATGCATTCGCTGTTTGTCTTACCTCTACTCAATATCTAACAACCAACAAATACTCGACTAAAACAGTTTTCTTCCCTCACGACTTTCAAGTTTCAACATTGTAATTATTTGTTCTTGTTAACAAATCAGAATAAGTTGAAGTATTCAAGTTTAATATTGGGCTGTGAAGTTCACTTCGTTTTTACCTCGATATGGTAATTTTTAATTAAAAAAAATTATATTTTATTCGAACTCGTCACCCCGGCATGACGAGATTGATTAAAAAAATATTTTTATTGAAACTCGTCACCTCGACGTAACGAATTCTAATAACACTGTAGAAAATATCGTAGATCCCAAAATAAATTTTGATTTGCCCTAATGGACTAAATAAAAAATCTATTATCTTTATTGGGTTAAATCAGGCGATGAAATACTCACCACTATTGATTCAGGGGATCCGAGACAGATGATGTTGAGCTGTCAGATTGTACCTTGATGGCGTTGATATACCATGAGTTGGCAGATCAGCGCAAAGGCGGGAGTTGATTGTGATATGTTCCTTATTGGGGTCGTTTTGAGTGCGTTTCAGTCTTTTAGTCATAACTTTGGCTACGGTGTTGGAATCGCGCATAAGACCTCAATTCGGAAAGCTCCTTTCGACGCGCACGCTGTCCACATGCAACATGGTTCCATGTGGCCTTTTTTCGATCTCAAATTCTGTTGTTTTTTTCTCCGAATCACTAGTTTTATTTTTTTTACTATTTATAGTAATATTTCGTTTGTCAATTAGGAAGTAATTTTAAATCCGATTTGGGCCGGATTTTTTTGGAGATTGCATATTTTATTTTGAATTTTAATTTAGAGTGATTTCGAGATTTTGCTATTTTTGGCAAAATTCGGATAAACACGATTTTTGGTTATAACAGTCCGACTTGTGGACTGATTTTCGGATTGTTTAATTTTGTTAAACCCTAGAGACTCTTTTCTCTGGTTTTGGATGAATTTTCTCCTGTGAATCATCTATTGGAACTAGCCTGCAGATAATCGCTATGCTGTCCGGCGTCAACTATACTACAACAACTTGATGTTTTGGGATATTTCTTTGTACATTTTATTAATATATGTTTTCTTTGGTTTTCCATTTTCTTTGGCATTAATCAGATGTCTTTCGGAAATTTATGCTTGTCTATAACATACATTTTATTCCACTAATTACTTGTAAATAGAAACAAAACTTAACTATTTATAAAAAAACATAAATGATTTAATTATTTGTAAGCCATTCATATTATAATTGTATCTAATTTAATCCAGTTTAAACTTAAATCTATAATAATCAACCATTGATGACTAAAGAATGTTTTCACAATATTTACAAATAAAAGAAAGTCCTTAAATTTTATAAAAACTGTATTTTTTTAAAATATATAAAATATAACCTGTTTTTATTATTAATTATAAAATTAAAAATGAGATTATTTAATATTTTAATATTTGATTTCTTAAATAAATTTATAATCAATAATGAAATTCATAAGAGACTTGGGGTTATGGCCCCCATAAATTAAAAATTTAATTTTTTTTGAAGTTAAAAGATTATTCTTTATCTCTTAATATATATAAAAGGATTAGGATACACTTACACTATGTAAAACTAATAAGTTTCACATAATTATGCTTAAATAAATAAATGACTTAAATTTTATTAAAACTTATAATTTATAAATAATTTTTTTAACTGACGATAAAATAATATTTTTCCTTTTTAGGGTTAGTACGTTTGATTTAGGACTTATTAATTAGGATTTTAAGATTTTGGACTTAGGGGTTTATGGATATAATCACGGATTTCAAGGTTTGGGATTTTAGATTTTAGGGTTTATGATATTGAGGTTTAGGGTTTTTGAGGTTCAAGTTTAGGGATTAGGATTGGGGTAAAATAATTATTTTATTGTTAGTTAAAGAAAATTATTTACGATTTATAAATTTTAATTATTTATTTATTTAAATTTAATGACTATAAATTAGTGTAAATTTATTAGTTTTACATAGTGTAAGGAACATATCTCTATATAAAAAATATTTATTTATTTTTGCTCCATGAGTGTAGACATTTTAAATGACTCCCAGTGAGTTCTACGACATACAAATACTTGAATTTTAACGTCGTGAATGAAACAAATAAAATTAAAAAGGATTGTCTCCATAACGAATTTATACATTACTTGACTTGAATAATTGTTCTATGAATCAAACATCAATAATTATATAAAAAATATAAATGCAACTTTCATGAAGTACTTTAAACTCGATCTGTATTATTGGATGAGCTTAGAGTGTCATATTTAATCACTTAAAGATCACCAAAATTGAATGCTTAATGTTTTTTTTCAGTATACATTATTTAAAAATATTCATGTTAAAATCAGGATGACACAGATTTTATTTAAAATGGAGTTCCGCTATGTAATATAGTATAAATCCAAATAATATAATTACAAACGGAATATAAATAAGGTCTTAAGAATATATATATATATATATATTATATGTATATATGTGTATGTATGTATGTAATATATATGTGTATGTATGTATGTACTTTAAAAGATCAATATTATACTTTAAATAAATAGTGTTGAAGATTCCTTATCGATGATGCTACATATAAAATATTTTTAAACCCTTTTCAAAAATAAAATGTAACTTGTTTTTATTTTTAACTATTTAATTAAAAATGATTAATGTTGCATCTTTTAAATAAGATCAGAATTTAGTCTATTTTGGTAAAATTAAAAAAAATGTAACGTTTTAATGTAGTATAATGTGGTTTTTTGTCCATGTACTTGGCAATGTAGTCTATTTTGATAAATTATTTGACTTATATTAATCTCAAAAAAATTTAACCTTTTTAAATTAGTATTTAAATTTAAATTTTTAATTATTCAGATAACATGATACTTTAAAATTATATCACGTCGTAATTGAGAAAAATAGAATATAATTGCTAAATGATAACGTGAATAATCTTAGGTGTCGCATCATTTAAAGGACTAAACTACAAGTTTAAGTATTAAATGGGTGAAGATTGCCAAATTCTAAAATTAATGCAAACAGAAAAATATCAAAATGATAAAGTTTAGGGGAAAAAATTACAATTAACCCTTTCAACCTTAGCGTTTCCATAATGAAGCTTAGGAAGCAAGCAGGAACTGAAGCTAATTACGAAAACACCATGAAGCTCGAAATTCGAAGCTGCCAAGTGGTTAAACATTCTTCGAACAAGAAACTCAGCTTCGTGTCCGAACCAAGGGCTTCGGAACCTGGTTTAGTCAAATATGGGACCTACAAAATAAAGACCAACTTCACTCTTATTACAACGAAAATACTTTATAGGTCCCTATATTTATAGATACTATCAATTTAGCCCATTTACTAATTGATAGATCAATTTTAATCTTTCTATTTCAGAGACTGGTTTAAATTAATCTTTATTATATAAATTGGTTTAAATTAATCCATTTTATTATTAAATAAATAAATAAATTTAGTTGTTGTATTAATAAAAAATTTATATAGAGTTGAATTTGTTGTTTAAAAAATGAAAGATAATGTCTAATTAAGTAGATAATTTTACAGGCTTTATGGATTTGCAAATGAAATCTTTTGTTAAAATTTAAATTTAAAATAAAAATATAGTTATAAATCCATATTTTAAATGAAAAATGTCAATTTGGGAAAAAATACTTTTCTTTTTTCTAGAAGAAGGATTAAAATGATACTATCCTTTAATATAGGGACCTGATATGTGTTTCCACCATATCTTTCGCCGAAGCTGAGATTCTATCCATGAACCTCTTATACCAGTTCCACACCAAAGTTTCCCGCGCGCTCTCTCTCGTTCGATTACTTAGCCTAGTGTAGAACAACAAAGGCAAAGTAAGAGACTTTAAAAGCTTTCACTCACGGCCTGTTCTAAGTCCCTTCATCGTCATCATCATCTTCTTCTCTTCTTTGTTAATGGCGAGGTAAGGTTAAAGAAGTTAATGATAAAAATAATTAAATAAATTATTAACACTGTATTTATTATTCTACGACCATGAGATTAAAGCAATCGGTGATGCTAGAGTTAACCGATTCTGGGTTGGATTTTTTTTTTCTGGATAAATTTCCGGACTTTAACCCAAAAAAAATCCCATTTTGAATTGAAGATTTTCTTGGGGTTTCGGTGTTGAATTTATGGGAAATACGTGATTTCAGATTTAGGGTTTACACGATATTTAAAAAAAAGTAATGTGGGTTTGTAAGTTGCATCAAAACTTGCTATAAATGGGGGTTTGGTTTTCAGTACCTTCCTCCCCATTTTCCTCTGATTTGGATTATGTGGAGACTTTGATAGTCATTCAGAGCTGCGGTTTCTTCATCCATTATGAGCTGCATTGACAGATTTTATTTGATGATCATCCTTTGTCGAAACTGTTGTTAATGGAAAAGAACCTTTTCTGTAAGCTAAACTAAATTTACCATGAAAAAAGAGGATATTTTACTCATAAAAGACCATTGTTGTTTGCAGGAGCTGGCTTGTTGACAATAAAGCATTAGCAAAGAAAGTAAAAAATGCTTCTTTCTCTTCTTCCATTGAAATCACTGATTGTGGGGAAAATCGTGAATGCCCCAACTGCCATTACCGTATTGATAACAGTGATGTAAGTTGGAAGTTGGAACATCGAATTTTAAGGTTGCTCATGGTTTTATTGCACATGTGTGATTGTGAATGCCATCAATAATGTATTTGGGGATGCTCTGGTTTTTTGTAGGTTTTTCCTCAATGGCCTGGTCTTCCTGTAGGAGTGAAATTTGATCCTTCTGATGCAGAGCTTTTAGATCATTTGGCAGCTAAGTGCGGTTTCAGAGACTCAAAACAACATCTGCTTATCGATGAGTTCATTCTGACGCTGGAGGAATGTCAAGGGATTTGCTACACTCATCCTGAAAATCTTCCAGGTAAAAAATGTGTGTATGGATTCTATATGCTTGTATTTTACATTGCTATCATATGAAGGACGGGTGTCAATATGTTTTCATTTGATGTTGTTCGAAGTAGGTAGGAGACATACTCCTCGGTTCATGGTTAACCTTGGCGAATTCGGGTTTTGCCATACTGGAATATCGATATCGCAGCTTGATTTGGATTCAATAATTTTGTTTGTTCACATTTCTGTAAAATTAGAATGAACTTAGTTCAGCAGATTAGATGGTTATGTTGAATATTGAATTGTTCTCGAGCTGCTATTTGTGGTTAATCTTGGAAAATTCAGAGTTGATAATAATGGAAAGTTGATATTGCAGCTTGATTTATATTCAACCAGATGATGGATAGGGTGTAAATTTGTTTTTTCTCATTGCTTCATCTCGATTTTGTGCAGGTGCAAAGAAGGAAGTAAGTAGTATCCACTTCTTTCATCGAACGATTAATGCATATGCAACTGGTCAACGAAAGCGCCGTAAAATCCACAGTCAAGATGACACGAACGAGGAGCATGTTCGTTGGCATAAGACAGGGAAGACCAAACCTGTTATAGAAAATGGAGTTCATAAGGGGTGGAAGAAGATCATGGTTCTCTATAAAAGTTCGAAGAAAGGGTGCAAACCCGAAAAGTCGAATTGGGTGATGCATCAGTACCATCTTGGGGATGATGAAGACGAGCATGATGGGGAATATGTGGTTTCAAAGATCTCCTATCAAAAGCCGAAACAAACTGAGAAGAAAGATGACAGCCTGATCCCGGATAACTTGATGATTCGTGCTAGTCCAATGACCCCTAAAACAATTATTCCTAATCCACCTAGGCCATATAAGTCAGTGCTATATGATGACATTAACGAAAATACACACCAGGTATTCATCTGCCCTTATCATACCATTGTTGATATACAGCTTTAGGTCACCATGTATATATATATATATAAATATGCATTAGAGTAAGCCTCTTGTTCTCCAGTCAGACGAAACAAATTGTCAACGTTTTGTGTTGTCTTATAGTGTTTATAAGAACCAAATAACAAATCAGCTTGATGAAATATCGAATTCTTGCATCAGAATATGCATGAAGTTATTATGTTTGCTATAAATTGTAAACTATGGATTCTTTCATTTGATCCTCATCAAAGTTCGTTTCAATGGATTTGGAAGCGAAATTTTTATGTTGAAGGATCTCATCTACCTAAGGATTCTGTTCAATGCAAGGATAATTCCGACTATCCGGCGTGGTGGGCTGAGGAATCTCAGGCTGTTGAAAATTCCGATTTTAATGGCTTGGATGATTTTCTGCTATGCAATGAGCTTTTGGATTCATCTTCTCTGCAAACAAGTTCAGTTAAGAATAGTCTCTCTAATGTTAGCTGCACCGACGGTACAACCGAGACAAAAGGAAATAAAGATATAGATTCTGGAATTTCCGAGCTCGAGAACTTGGAGTTCGATACACCACCTGATGTACCACTAGCTGTAAGCTTCTTTTCCTCTATCTTTTCATTTACGTCTAAGAATTAAATCATATGATCATCCTACATCCGCTTTGCTGCAGGATCTACAATTTGGCTCTCAGGACAGCTTTCTTTCATGGCTAGACCGATTATGAAGAATTAGTGCGATGCATAATCTGCAACCCCGACGACAAAGTCCAAGTTTTGAGCTTGTCTATCATCTCTGAAGCTGTTTCCATGTCGAGCACTTCACAGAGCTAGACAGTATTCGTTTTGCTTTCGGAGGCATGCGAGTTTGTTTGTTCTCGGTTTTTCTTCATTCAAGGATGTTTGACGCTTGTTTAATCCCGCAGCTTCCGGTTCCGAATAAGAGCTGGCTGGTTACTACAACATTCAAGTTCATGTTATCAAGAAAGAGTTGAATGTTGTTTCCATAGAACCAACATGCAGTCTTTTTCAAATAACATGCAATTCTAATATTTTTTTTTCTCTGCTACATGTAGGAAAAACAAACATTTGGTGTTGTGTTGCAGCTAAAATTCGTAACTATGACATTAGTAAAATCTCTGGCTAATGTTCTTTTATTATCAACTTAAAAAACATTGGTAAGAACTTTCATTCCTGTCTTGTTTGAATACACACAATTCGTTCTGTTTTCTAAGCTAAGCTTTTTCAAGGCCATAAGGGAAATAAAGATTATCATGGATGGGGTTAGATTTTTGTCTGATCCAAAATTCCAAACCCGTCTGGGTATTATACCTTCCACTTGAAACACGATCTAGCATGGGTTTTGGGGTTTTTTTGGCCCAAAATAGCATAAGCCGTTATTATTTGGCCCAATAGGGTTACCTTTGAAATTAATTTATCTACGGTATTTTCTACAGGTAAGGGGAATTCGTCACCTCGAGGTGACGGGTTCTATGAGATATTATTTTTATTTGGTTTAAAATTTATAGCCATTTAGATTTGAAAAAGAGCCCATTAGGATGACGAGTTTCATCGTTTATTTTCTCAAATCTTAACTATAAATAGGAGTCGGATTAGTTGATAGAGTTATAGGAGAACGAAAATATGCATTTGTGGGAAGAATATTTCAAGCAATTTTCGGAAGATCATTTTTGATTTGATTACTCTGATATTAATGATTCAGATTTAAGCTCTTCTTCAGATGAGGAGTGAGTTAAAAAAATCAATAAAATATATTCTTGATCAACATAAGGAGTTGAAAAGAAAGGAGGAGGAGAATAAGAAGGAGAAATAGAAAAATGAAGAGTTTGCAAGCTGACGTAGCAAACGACTCATTGAAAGGAATGAGAATAAGAAAAATAATGTAAAAATTGAGATGGAAAGATTGTTGAAAAATGTTTTAAATAATCGTATGAATTTGACTTTAGTTAAACGTTATAGTTTGCAATTATATATAAAATGTAAAAAACTAAAAAAATTATTATTGATATTTGTAAAATCGGTACAACATAGGAATACATTACAAAGGATTTATCGGCCTGCTCAATATCTTGGGAGATGTGGATAATGTTTCCTATTGTGACCTTTACCTCTGCAATGGCCACATAGCTTCAGTAGACCTTGCTCTCTTTGAGGGTCATCTATATTGGTATGAATTCTAGATTCAGGATGACCCCTCAACTTCCTTCATAATTTCGGATTGGGAAACCATTCTTCAGAGACAATAGGTGGCCAATATACATTGTTCGGGAGATACTTAAACTCGCAACTGTATATGTTACGTATAGTATGCAAGCTATAAATATCATCAGCGTAAATGTATGGGTCTACATTCACATGCATACATACAGCAACCGCGTAAGCGGATGGGTATATGAATGCTTGAAATCAACCACAATCACACCATCTTCCATTCAGATTACCAATATAGGTTGCAGAAGTCTCACCATCATGTGGTAGAACAAGTCCTTGGACAATATAATCAGATTCCAGTCTGGTGAAATTACGAACATACATTAATGTTGCATGAGTTTGATTTTTGGTCATTGCTTTCTCCAGATCTGGAGCCCAATTTCTACATTCGTTGAGCATTGCCTCTACCTGGGCACTTTTTCTACCCAAACTTTACTCAATCTGAAGTATGTCTCCTGAACAATACTTGCTACCGGAAGATGTATAATCCCTTTTAGAACTGAATTGATACACTTAGAAAGATTGGCTATCATATGACCGTAACGTCGACCTTGATCGTCATATACATGTGCCCATCTTTCCTGAGGTATCTTAGTTGCAAAGTTATACACCTCTTCTCCATACTTTCTCAAATTTCCAATCTTGCACGAAAGCTCGGTTGTAATAATGCGTAGCCTAAAAAAATAGTTAGGTGTAAGTATAATAATTTTAAACGAAGACCAAGACCAAAAAATAAAAGATAAAAATAAATAAGTTACCCATGCTAATAATCTCTTTCTTTATCTTCTTATTCTTGAACCTCGTCATAGCATTTGAAGCAATGTGACGTATGCAATAAGCAGTAAATGCATGTTGAGGCGACAACCTACTTCTGGATCAGTCAATCATGGCCAACAACCCAAATGAACGGCCTGAGATCATACAAACCTCATCTTGAGTGATAACATGGGAGCGCAAGTTTGATAGAAAGAAATTCCATGTTTCCTAGGACTTATTTTTAACAATGGCGAAGGCAATGGAGAAGATGTTTATGTCACCATCTTGTGCAACAAGTATCAAAAGGGTATGTTTGTATAAGTCATATAAAAAAATGACATCCACTTGAATCATCTATTTGTAGTAACGAAAGCCTTCAATTTGTGGCTTGAAAGCCCAGAACAAGCCTCTGAAAACTCTCTTCTCAGGGATAACTTGTCCATTAAATGTGGTTGTAGGATAAGTATAAGAGCGAACATGTATTTAAAATAGGTCAAATCATTCACTGTTTCAGCTATTTTCTAGTACTCAATTAATGCACCGTGTCAGCTACTTTTCAAAGGTCATTTATTGCAGTAATAATGCAACGATTGACTTTTTCAGAAACTTTTCAGTGATGTATAACTCAAATCAGAAAACTTTTTTGTGGTGCATTTATCACTTCATATCAGAAAAACGTGTATTTCACAAAGGCCAAATAATGATTCATTTCACCAACTTTTTAATTCTCATTTAATCATCTTCAGTAACTATTAATATGTGTGAGTTGAAAACCATTTTACTATGATATTGAAGCAAAAAAAAACCAAAAAACACATTCAATCTTTTACTTCCAAAGCTTGAGTTTCTTTCAAACATGTCAAATATTTGCTCAATTGTTTTTTTTACGATTGCAAATCTATAACCATTTATTATATTATAAGTTCAGTGCAGAAACAAAAGTTCTACTCGGAAGTAGTAGGATAATATCTTCATTATATTATAAATTTTCAGTTTAATGCACGAGGTTTCATCTAAGCAATGATGTAGACCTTGTTGGTATGATTTAGACATACTTCTATCACTCTTTCTCTAATGTCGATTTATTTGTAGAGTTCGATGATCTTGACCTTGCTCATACCATTGAGGATGTTACTTCCATCTCGAATATCACACCAACTTAGGCATATAACCAAGAAACAAACATAGATGATGGAGACCTAGAAGCATGGTTTCAATTCGTACGTGAACGACACCAGCAAAAAGAATGGAGAATTGAATAACTTAATATTACTTATGACGAGCCTATTAAATACGAAGATTAAAACGTCCTTATGTTGATGTATTAAGTTTGTTGTTTTTTTCTTCTTAATGTGCATTTTTGAATGTCTAATATAATGTTCATAGTATGTTGTTCTTTTCAATATAATCTACCACATAAAAAAACTAAACCGAACTCGTCACCTCAAGATGAAGAATTCCGGTGTATTTTTTCTCAAAAATTAAATTCACATGATAATCTGAGAAAAAATATTTTTTAATAGAACTCGTTACTTCAAGGTGAGAGTTCCCTCTGCGCCGTAGAAAATGTCGTAGAGATACCTATTAAACTAAATAATAACGTCGCCTGCCATTTTGGGGGGGCGATTTTGGGAGATTCAACCATGTCTAAAATTTGACCGGAATTTTAAAGTTAAAATATTGACTTAATATGACAAAAATATAATTAAAAATTCTTTCAATAAAATAGGAACCAATAGAAAAAATATATATAGAAAGAGGGGAATTATAGTGACTATCCTTAAAAATAGAGAGGATAATTATATTATTATTTTAAATTAAATATTTTTTACTCTAAATCCGAATCAGAATCGATCTTATCCTTCAAAAAGCTCGATTCGATCAAACTTAAATTTTAATAAACAATTTCTAATGATTATACATCAATTATAGGGTTAAAGAATTTGACCCGAAACTAACATGATCTCATAAAATCATGTCAGGTCAGGTTAAAATCTATCAACTTCGAGTATTAAGATCTTCTTAATAATAACGAAAACAGTCTTGCTCTGCCGTGTATGCCTCAACTCGTTTAAACCAATAATAACGAAAAGAAACTGCTATTGATTTGTTGGTTTTGTTTGATGAACAGATTGCTACACTAACAGCATTTTATGCAAACTGGAACTTTGCTGCAATTCAAGGACTTGGATGGGATTGAGCTGGCGTGATATAAGTTTACAATCTTATCTTTTACCTTCCTCTCGACTTCTTAAAGTTCTTCATCCGACACGCCCTCACCGGAAAGGCTTCGGATCTTATTCCGATGCTTTAACTTCCATTGTTGTTGGCTTAGAAACTTCGGATCAGGTTCTTTTGCAGATCGCTTTCACGAGGAAAGAAGACTTTGGGAAAGAAGAACATGAAATAAAAACGGGCACATGCTCAGCGGACACTCCATGGACTGCAGCTACGGGACACCAAGATGTTCAATGACGGAACCAGTTACAATGAACTTAATCAGATGGCTGAAGACGCAAAGAGACGAGCCGAAATTGCAAGGTATGCACCAATTAAGTTCAACTTGACTTTCAAATCGTAACTGTTGATAAACCCAGAGCTAGAAATTCGAATTTAGTTCAGTTAGTTTATGCGTAATTTTTCTGCTTGCAGGTTGAGAGAAGTGACTGCTAAAAGGGCATGTCGAATCGGTAGCTAGACTAAAGGGTCTCGACATAGACACAATTCAGCAAGCATACATACACTGCCTGAGAAAATTGCATCAAACAATTTGATTCTACATGTATCGTACATATACTGCTGGGATTGCTACTGCAGAGAGTAATACGGATCTATAGTTTGTCATCTTGGTCACAATTCAGAAAGCATACACTGTCTGAGAAAAGGCATCAAACATTCTGATTCTACATATATCATAGATATACTGCTGGGATTGCTACTGCGGGCTTAATATGGATCTATAGTTCGAATCTATAGTTTGTCATCTTAAAGTAGAAATTGCTTTCTATAAGTTCAAACCCATCATCTTCGTGATAGACCCGCGTTTGCCATGCCTTCAATGTAATTTTTGCATACTCTTCTCTAGACCAAGCACAACCTTCCATTCGATGCTGCCTCCTTAAGAATAAATGAGATACATTTGCGCACAGACTACTTGAGTTTACCTTAGGAAAACTCGAACTTGACTCAACCATTGTGTTGAGTCAAATTCAAGCCACTCGAGTCATTAAGCAAATTAAAGAGAGGAACCATGTTCCTAACATGAAGAAACTGATATCAGAGGCCATTGATTAAAAATATATGAACATCCCCTTCAGCTTAGGCTTAGGGACAATGACCAAAACTCTAAAACTACAAATTCAATACGAGAAATCAGATCAGCACATGCAAAAACAAGGCATCCGGCAATAGATTTATCCATCACATTATATAAAAAAAATCATTGTTCCACAATAGAGTTGAAGCATTATTTTACCATCATCAAATTCAGGAAACTCCATTTGGTATTTATTACTGCAAATGTACAAACTGAAAGTTCAAATAGCAGCTTGTTATGGTGGTATTTAACACCTGTGCTTGCCAACTTTCTTCTCAAGCTCATTCTTTTGAGCTCCGACCACCCTATCCACTTCCTTCCCGTTCTTCAACAACACGAAAGTCGGCATCGCATGTGTTAGATATGTCTCATAAATATACGGGTAAAGAGGATAGGGTTAATTATGTAATTATGTACCAGATTTTTTATTATAAATAGAGATGTAACATAAACATATTGAATAAAACTTCTAGCGCCGTCTAGGCACCGAGGACGTAAGCACATTGTTGAACCTCATTAAAATTCTTGTGTTCTTTCGTTTTCTTTACCCGATTCTTCAACCGCATGCACTCCGAATCCTTGTGCCACATCCTAAAAACCCACCACCGTGTAAGGATTAGCAAATAAAATCATCTAAAAAAATCTGATCAACACAATGAATTGTAGCGGGTTTCCAGTATATGTAAAGAAAAGGATAGAAAAAACCATACAGGCAGCTCATCAACATCAAGTTTCACAAAATCAACATCAGTGAAACTAACAGCCATGTCATTCAAAGCAGGTTCCATGATCTTGCACGGTCCACACCAGGAAGCTGAGAAATCTATAACCATCTGATCTCAAAACTCTTTTTTTGTTCAATCAAAAACAACAAAAAACCCAAAGTCAGATCTTTCATATAATAACCAAAACAAGAAGAAAAACACCCCCAAAAGAATAATTGTTAAGAAATCAGATCTCAACCAGTGGTACATATTATCATGTTGGTATTTTTAGAATTTTGTTTAGTGTAAACTATAAGTTTAATATTTATTTTTAGATATTTTTATGTAAGGATTTATTTGCAGGGATTACTTACTATTACATACGTGCATATGAGGACTGCATATGAAGATTGTTCAACTACGTATTTTATTTATTTATTTAAGTATGCATTGTATTTTATCTTTATTTTTAATTTTTTGACTGCCGGAGGTCCTCCACGGAAACTGCTCTCAACTTGGCGTTGGGGGACAGCCTACTACCCTACCTCCCCCTTAGTCCATTACATATGGAAATAGGGTTTTGTTGTTGTTGTTGTTGTATAAGTTTAATATTTAAATTATCATTTTTATTTAGTTTTAATATTTAAATTTGATATTTTAAAATCATATCAAATATTTAATTTAGATTTTAATTTGATATTTTTTAAAAAAATTTTAACGACATTTATAATATAGAATTTATATTAAATAACGCAAAAAAAAATCGAAAAAGTTAAAATAATTTGACCTAATACATTGCTCACCAATGGTACATATTATTTTACTATCTAATAATTTGAAAAAGTTGGCATTATGTAATTCATTGCAGAAATCAAGTGTTAGGGAAATGATAATAAAATTATTAAATTAAATATCAATTTGATCGAAACAAATGACATAATATTTCAAAGTCAATATTGCGAAAAATATAAAAGAGCAGGTAATAAACAATGATATTTCTCTATATATTTGTGACAATTAAAATGTCTTTAAATTCGACTCGATTTGAAAAATCGAATTTTTGAATCGATTTGACTTCGAGTTGTAATTTAACAAACTCGATTTGAAAAAAATTTCAAGTTCAAATCGAGTTGTAAAATGTAACTCAAATAATTCGAATAATACGAAAATTTTAATAATTAGTGGATTTATTTTCAAGTTTGAGTCGGATCTTTGGACTTTGTATAATATATATATCATATATGAAAAATATATTTGTATTGTATATATGGTTATAAAAAGTCACTTAAATTGAAATAAAATAATATTATAATATAATAAATATTTACAATTAAATTTAAACAGAAACTTGAAAAATCAACTCGACTCGACTCGAAAAAATTTCTAGTCAAATCTGAGTTGTAAAATATGACTCGTCAACTAGAATAGCTTTAAATTTTTATACTTGACTCGATCGAATGGTCACCCTTACTTTAGTTCTCTGTTTGATTTTTTCTCTTTGGGGTAAAGATGCTTTAATTAAAAACCCGTGGCTTTTACTTTGTATTTACTCTTTTATTGCTTCAATAAGATAATCCAATCGACCATTTGTCAAAAGAAAAGAAGAATGTTTGTCTTATAAGATAAAATTTTAAATATTAAATATTTATTTCTGATTTAAATTCTTTAATAGATTTATCAATTTGAGTTTTAATTATATACAGTTTATAATGTGCTTGAAAAATATATGTATGCCAAGTATAAAGATAGAATATATATATATATAATTACTACGGATATTGCAGCCGAAAGGGGATGTAGCTCAGATGGTAGAGCGCTCGCTTAGCATGCGAGAGGTACGGGGATCGATACCCCGCATCTCCATTCATATGGCAGCTTTTTTGCTTCTTGCATATCTCCATTAGAGAGAATCACGGTGGTTTAATTAGGCAATTTTTTTCTGTTAAAAACTGTAATTACAAAGTAAAAACATTATTAACTAAAAGTCATTTTATACGAGTAAACGATGGATTCTGACAACGCAAAAGAATCAAACGGTGGCACAACTTCCCTTGTTATTTGACCGTCATTCATCACTTGGTGAGCAAACTCCAAACACTTGGATTCTAAATCCACCAGAACTAGGCGTTCCTGGTGGTCGGGGATGACAATCATCAACAACAAGAGGAAATAACTGTCAGAAGCAAACACAAAAACAACTGCAACAAGGTGAAGAAAACTGGAGCGTTGAGGAGCAAAGCAAAAGTAAACAAAAGCCAGCATGGGAAAATCACCATGAGCGTAGGCCTGATAGATTGCGGACATTCTGTTGAATGTGAGATACGAGTAGGCTATGGCCGCTACTATTGTGGTTTGGTTTTCATCATTGTTTGCCTGCGTTGTTCTTTTCTTTATCGAAATAAAGCTATATGAAATTTGTGAAAACTATATGGAAACACATGTATTATATATAGTTATGATGATGAAGTGATTGGTTCCTGGGAAATGCAAAGAAATTCAAGGGAAAAATACTTGGAACTTGACTCAGTGGTATAATTGAAAGTTAAGGGTTGCAGCAGAAATGTGTTGCCCTGAGGTACAAGAACAATCGGCGATGAAGTTGAATAATCGCAAGCAGCATCCCAAGCATGCTTAAAGCCCTGGAAATTATTTACATAAACACACCTAAACAGTTGAGAAGAAACAGAAACTGCTATCATATTTGTTGGCAGAGCATATTTTGTCGAGGACAGTGTTCTTCTAACACGCCATGGCACAAAGCCAGGCCCGGCCCTGAGGGTAGGCGAGAGGGGCGACCGCCTAGGGTCCACGTTTAGAGGGGATCATTCTTAAAAATATTTTTAAGTTTAATAATTAAAAAAATAAATTTTTTAGACTAAATCGCAAATCCCAAATTTTTTGAGGGGCCTAAGTTTAATATAACACCATTTTTTTTATTGAGCACTACTAAAACTACCCGATATTATTAAATCTACCGGATGTGGGGGCCCACTTATCTTTATAATATAATACCATTGGTTTATGTAATGTGAGTTTGGTAATATGTATGCATATTATATTATAAATACTTGGGCCCTTAAAAAAAATACCCTTTTTATAATATAATACCGTTTTTATCCCTAAAGTCATGCATATTATAAAGAGAAAATAACCTCAGTGACCAAAAATCCTAGATAATATACGATTTTGACCAATTTTTTTTGGATTTGCGAAAATGACCAACAAAATCGCAATGCGATCTCTAATTCGCATTGCGATCTCCACTATCGCAAATTCGCGTTGCATTTCGCGTTGAGATAGTTGAAAATCGTGTTGCGATTTTCCATTTCGCGTTGCGATAGTTGAAAATCGCGTTGCGATTTTCCATTTCGCGTTGCTATAGTTGAAAATCGCAACGCGATTGTCCATTTCGCGTTGCGATAGTTGAAAATCGCGTTGCGATTTTCCATTTCGCGTTGCGATAGTCTACAGTTGTTGTTGCGATAGTCTACAGTTGTCGTTGCGATTTTCCAAATTCGTTGTGGTAGTTTTCTTAAGAATTTTCTCTAAAAAGATAGTATCCGCGCGGACGTGTCGAAGACACGTATTACCACGACCACGACCACAGACAGACGGCGGCGGCGGCGGCGCGCGAGAGTCCCCCTTGTTCTCTATCACTCAACAAGGAAGTGGGAAAGCCAAGCCTTAAATATCATTCCCAATAGTATTTCCAATACTATGTGGAATTGAGCATTACCAACACTTGTTTCCAATACAATGTGATTATTCAGGAAATAATTAACAATCATGCACCTTAAAACAATTGAATTAGCAACCAATTGCATTAGTATTATACGATTAAATATGTCATAATTAAAATTCAATCTACAATCAATCGCGATTATTGCAATTTTAAGCAAAACATTCAAAAAATAATATCACTATTTAAGGCTCAATCCCACATAGTATTGGGAACAAGTGTTGGTAATGCTCAAATCCCACATAGTATTGGAAACACTATTTGGAATAGTATTTAAGGCTTGGCTTTCTCACTTCCTTGTCGAGTGATAGAGAACAATGGGGACTCTCGCGCACCGCCGCCGCCGCCGTCCGTCTCGTCTCGTCTCGTCTCGTGGTCGTGGTCGTGGTCGTGGTCGTGGTCATACGTGTCTTCGACACGTCCGCGCGGATACTATCTTTTTAGAGAAAATTCTTAAGAAACAAAATCTTTTTTTAACTATCATAACGAATTTGAAAAATCGCAACGACAACTGTAGACTATCGCAACGCGAAATGGAAAATCGCGTTGCGATTTTCAACTATCGCAACGCGAAATGGAAAATCGCGTTGCGATTTTCAACTATCGCAACGCGAAATGGAAAATCGCATTGCGATTTTCAACTATCGCAACGCGAAATGGAAAATCGCATTGCGATTTGCAACTATCGCAACGACAACTGTAGACTATCGCAACGCGAAATGGAAAATCGCAACGCGATTTTCAACTATCGCAACGCGAAATGGAAAATCGCAACGCGATTTTCAACTATCGCAACGCGAAATGCAACGCGAATTTACGATAGTGGAGATCGCAATGCGAATTAGAGATCGCATTGCGATTTTGTTGGTCATTTTCGCAAATCCAAAAAAAGTTGGTCAAAATCGTATATTATCTGAGATTTTTGGTCATTGAGATTATTTTCTCTATTATAAATACTTACCCCCACTTGTCTTTATAATATAATATCGTTGGTTTATGTAATGTGGGTTTAGTAATATGCATGCATATTATAAAAAAAAATGTGTCTAAATATACCAATAAATCTATTAAACATACCATTTTTTTATTTTTTAATAAAGTTTTCTTTCTTTAATAGTTAGTGGGTTTTTATTTAATGGGTAGCGGATTTTTAGTGGATGATTATTTAATAGGTAATGAGTTTTTAGGTTAGGTAATAATTAATAAAGAAATATTAATATTAATAATAATAATAAAAATATTAATAATAATATTTAAAATATTTTTTTCGACCCGGACAAAAATGAGTGTCTACAATTGCCCCTATTTGCACATTCTTGTGTTAACAAGGATAAGACAAAGAAGAAAAAGACAACCAATTTTTGTCCGATAAATGAAACATGTGACATAAACAAACATTCTTGTGTTAATAAAGATATGACAAAGACGAAAAAGACAAACAGTTTTTGTCCGATAAATGAAACATGTGACATAAACAAAAATATATCTGATAAAAAAAATATATCCG